TAAAAATGAGACTTATGAATAATTTTGACTTTTGATTAGTTATGTATATATTCGTATCCTTCTAAACCAATAGCATTTGAACATGGCATTATGGCTTTTGAGTGAATGTATGTACACCCACATAGCATGATTCTTAATTTGAAGTGTGAATCCTAACACATCAGTTACCATGTTCTTGAGCATGCTTGCAAAAGATCCACATATGTTTCAAAGCCCCCACAAGATGATATTTGATAGGGATGGAAATCTACCACAATTGAAGTAAATGCTTCACATGTGTCAATTTCATAGAGGGGATCATGGGAGGGAGAGTAGGAAAAGATGGTCAATTATTTTGATTTTGAATTTTTTTTTTGTCAATCAATAAAATTATTAATTTACAACATGAAAAAAAAATTATAACTAGACAATTATAATCTAACAAATATATAAACTCAACAACTAATTAAAGAAAGAAGTCCACAATGAAAAAGAAATAAATAAGAGTCCCATTTGCATTTAGTATATATATTGGTCTCCTGACTTTTCTTATAAAATCATACAAAGGTAGCCAACAGAGTTAGTCCAGTTGGTTAAAGGAGGAGATGTCAATCTATGGAGAATTTTATTAGAAGCCCAAAATAAATTAAATTTTGAACAAATTTCACCGGTACTTTTTGTGCTTTGTCACTTATGTTAATTTATTGTAACTTTAATTGTATAAATCTTACTTTTAAAATTTTCATATTATGTTAATTTAATCCAATTAGTAATATCTCTTTAGAAATTGACTTGAAATTAAAAGAAAAAATAGTTCATTCATTTTTCTCAAAGTAATTGAGGGGTTGACGTCTAATTTAAAATGAACAATTACTTTTTAAAATGTACCATTTTGTCCTTGATTTTATCAACTTTTTTAACAGATGTTATCAATTGAACTAAACTGATACAATGTGAAATTAAATTAAAAAAATTTATATATTTAAAAAGTATATAAAAACAAGAAGCAAATGAGTATAATTTGACCTTACATTTTTTCAAACAAAAGTGGTATTTGATGGGCAAATTGTGGAGTAGAATTTCCATCAAGCAAATTGGTGGATGATATACTAGTATTATTGATTCCCTCACAAGGCATTTAAATGCATACAGCATTTCACAAAGCAACATGTTATAGGTTCTAAATTTTTTACTAAATAAATTATTAGATGTCTCATATGGTTGTGGAGTCTACATAATTATGGACCCCACACCTATATGAGACATTTAACTATTTATTTGATAGAAAATTTGATATTCCGAATATTATCCTTCCACAAAACATTTGAAACATCCCCATTGTAGTTTGAGAATATGCATGCCACTGGATCCCCTGTTAGAACCCTTGTTCTCGTTGGTCTACCATTTAGTTTTTTTTTTTTTTTTTTAATTGTTTTTTTTAAATGCTTTAAGTGGGGAAGATATAATATTACCAAATGTAATAGATGAAGCGCTTACTTATAATATAAGACGTGTTGCCCAAATTTTTTTAACCTTAATCTACATAATGAAACTTTTCTTCACTCATCGAAAAAAAAAAAAAAAAAAAAAAAAAAAAGAAAGAAAGAAAAAAACCCAAAGATCAAAAAGCCTAAAATAAGAGTAGTCTTGACACAATGGTAAAGTTGTTCTGTTGTGATTTAAGCATCATGAATTCAAATTACAGAAATAATTTATTTATATATTAAGACTGCATATATCCGACTCTTCTTAAAATCCATATCAATAAAAAATCTCGTACACTTTGGAGTGCCCTTCGGCCAAAAAGCCTGAAATCTATAAGTTGACTGATTTACAAATGAGAACTCGATTAAAGTCCAACCATAAATTGTTATTTCTTTAAATGATTAGAGTGTTTAAAAAATGGAGCATGCCTAAAAGTATCAGAAGACATGTTTTAAACCTCAATAGCTATACAAGTCATCCAAATTCTAAACACACAATAATTTATCCAAACAATTTTGTTGGCCTCATTATGCCATTTTCAGAATCTCAATGAAGTGTCTCAGTTCACTTGTTATTCTCTGCACTTGAAAATTAAAATTTGAGTTTGATTTGGAAGAAATTGAAGATTGTGTGTTTTTTTCATCTCTGCATGCTAATTTGAAGTAATTGAAAGATATTAGTAATTAAAAGTCAATTTTTGACTTTCAACCTATTTTGGATCGTATTGTCTCTTTATTTTTGTACACTTTTTTTTTAAAAAAATAAAAAAAAATCAGCTTTTAACCAATTTTCCAAAATAAGACCATCTCCAACCCTGAACCAAATCTGGCATCCAATTTAAAATTTGGTAAAAAAAGCACTTTTTCATGCTCCAACGGTTTCACCAAATTGATATCAAATCGAGATTTTACCAAACGTTTCACCAAAATAAAGACAGGCTCCGCATTTCATCAGAACACTGTGCATGACCGTTGGGGGAGACCAACCGGTCGACCACCAAAAGGTTCAAACAGTTCCAAAAAAAAGGTCAAACAGTTGGAAAAAAAAAAATTGCCTTACCGGTCGACTACTAAAAGGTTCAAAAAGTTCAAAAAAAAAAAAATTTGGCTTAACCGGTCGACCACCTAGTCGACTGGCCAGTCGACCAACCGGTTATCCCGGCACAGATTTGATGAAAATCAACCGTTGGAGCACTCGGTATCAGATTGAGAAAAAAGTCATTTTTTTACTCAGATTTGATAAAAACTTTGGTTCAGGGTTGGAGATACTCTAAGACAACCCAAATCCACCAAACCAATTATAGGAAATAATTGAATCAATAGATTTTTTTTAGATTTAAGCTTTACCGACAAATCTTATGAAATCTAGTCCATTCACATACTTTGTGTGTCCAATTTTACATTTAAGGTTTCGTTTGATAACATTACTTTTTAACTTAAAAGTCAAAAAATCACTAAAAAAATAAAAAAAAATTAACAACTTATACTAAAAAGTTAAAGATTCATTTTTCTATATACTTTTTACATATTTTTTGGTAAAAAACTAAAACATAATATCAAACATACTAATTTTTTTATATCATATTTTAACTAAAATGTTAAAAAATTATATAAAAAAAAAAGTATATTAGCAAACGAGGGTAGTTTGTGTGTTAGTAGCATTGTTGGATGAGCATGATGAAAAGATGTTTCTAGATCCAAAAAAATAAAAAATTTGTAATGGTTATAGAATGAGCGGAAAAGGCCTAACTTGCTTCGATTGGATGGATAAAAAATAAGCCTACGGTGAAACAAAATTTCTCCTATTTTGCAGTCTTTTTGGTGAAGAGTATGACATGCACATACATGCCACAATAGTGTTGTATGACAATTGAATAATTTTCGGTAAGGGTTACATCCTTAGTTTAACTGGCTCTTGGGGTTGCCAACACTCCTTGCAATGCTGTGCACAATAAATGAATAATTTTTTTTTGAACGAATAATGAATAATTCAAGCAGAAAGAAATAAGAACACATAATTGGTCTATAAAAAAATTACACAGAATAGAGAGACTCTGAGTCCCACAAATATGTGGGTCCTATATTTTCCTTTTTATTAAGTGAATTTTTTTTACTCAGATTGAAGATCCAAATGACAAAAACAATCTAAAAAGGACATTAAGATTTCATTTTTTAAAAAAAAAGAGTAAAGTGTTACATTGATTGACAGAAACTATTATCTATTAATGTAAAACTCAATTTTATTAAAAAAAACCCAATATCATTCTCAAACACATTGACTTCATCCACTTCATAAAAAAGTTAAAAAAAAAAACTACTAAAAAACCAAATTCCGAACAGGGCCTAAACAAAGTATTGTTGTCCCACGCAAATGAAAAATAGAAAATGAAACAACCAAAAAAGAACTCCCATTGCTTCTGTTAGATGTGCGCAACTGCACATCATGTATATATGTATCTAAATATACAAGAAATACACATAATAAGTGAAGGTCTTTGCTTTATGCAATCCTATATAGTTTCTTGTTTTGAAAGTAATAAAACATTACGTGAATGTAAGCTGATTTTCAACTTATAAATTAAGCTTCTCCTCCCCATTCAAAGAATAAGTTAATTTTTGACTTACAAAAAGTTATAAGCTGTATTGTTAAGCTGAACCAAACACATCAAAATAGCTTAAATTAAGCTAAAAGCTGAAATAAGTTGAAAATAAACCCTACCAAACAGAGTCAATAGTGTTGTATGACTATTGAATAATTTTCGGTAAGGGTTATATCCTTAGTTTAACTGGCTCTTGGAGTTGCCAAACAACACTTAAGTAATGAGGTGATGACTATCACCAAAAACACTCCTTGCAATGCTGTGCAGAATAAATGAATAATTTTTTTTTTGAACGAATAATGAATAATTCACGCAGAAAGTAATAAGAACACATAATTGGTGTATAAAAAAATTACACAGAATAGAGAGACTCTGAGTCCCACAAATATGTGGGCCCTATATTTTCCTTTTTATTAAGTGAATTTTTTATACTCAAATTGAAGATCCAAATGACAAAAATAATCTAAAAAGGACATTAAGATTTCATTTTAAAAGTAATTTTTTTGATTAAAAAAAGTTAAAAATTCAACCTAAAAGCAAAGTGTTACCCCTTCTTGAAAAAAAGAGACTAAAGTGTTACATCGATTGACAGAAACTATTATCTATTAATGTAAAACTCAATTTTATTAAAAAAACCCAATATCATTCTCAAACACATTGACTTCATCCACTTCATAAAAAAGTTAAAAAAAAAAACTACTAAAAAACCAAATTCCGAACAGGGCCTAAACAAAGTATTGTTGTCTCACACAAATGAAAAATAGAAAAAGAAACTACCAAAAAAGAACTCCCATTGCTTCTGTTAGATGTGCGCAACTGCACATCATGTATATATGTATCCATAGGGGTTGTTTGGAATGACCTAAATAAGTGTACTTTTTATCTTTTTACGAAAAGATGTGCAAAAACATAGAGAAGTGATGTGATGGAAAAAATATAAAAAGATAAAAAGATGGATTATTTTGATGTTGCCAAACTTGGCCTAAATATACAAGAAATACACATAATAAGTGAAGGTTTTTGCTTTATGCAATCCTATATAGTTTTTTGTTTTGAAAGTAATAAAACATTACAAGAAAAGAGGGAGGGGGGACAAAAAAACAGTGACTCCCCTCTATAGAGTTAATTCATTTTCTAAATAACCTTTTGGTTATATTAAAGGAGTTGGGTCTGAAGCTTCAACTATGTAAAGCTTATCATTATCTCTTATCACTTCAATGGAGTCAATTTCTGCCCCTTGCTCATCTAAAACCAATGCATTTCTTGCATCAAACCCAAACTTTTCACCTGCCAGAAGCAAAGTCACCGTTAGAAAATAAAAGTCGAATTTGAAATAACTTTGAAATACCATGGACTTTATTAGGAAGATGATATTTGACCAAGATGAATATCATTGGAGTTTTTTTCAACGAATACACAAACAACAAACACCATGTGTCTATCTGAGTACGAGATGAAAAAACCGATAGTATTCTTTGATATATGGCAGACCTATCAATTTGGATGGTTCATTCTAATGATGTAGAGATGATTAGTGGTAGAAATTAAGTCATGATATCATAAATCAGCATTAGATTAGGGGGATTATCATGCCAAGAGTGGTTACTGGCACCTCTTCTCCATTAGAGTCCCAGCCCAAGCCTAAGGCCAAAACGGTAAAGCGTGCCAAGGCAAAAACCACAGTGACTCAAATTGACACTAAAGACACCATGCCGATCTCGAGATTGGCAGAGGTTAAGAAAAATGCCTTCACTAAAATGCCTTCACTATCGAGAAGAGGCCCGCCGAGGCCGAGCCATCCGATACTGCTCGATCAAAGAAGCCGAGGTCCAAAGCCGCAGCAAGCCCAAGTGCTTTCAAAGCCAATGAACCCTAAGCTTATTTTGATACCCTTTTTTTACCTCTACTTATTTATTTTTTGTATAAAGTATAATATACGGAGAATAAGTGAGTAGGAATGATAATTGTTTATACTTGTTTTTTTGCTCCTTTGACACATGATAGAATTGAAATCATTGCTCTAGCTTAACTAAAGTTACAAGTAAAAGTCTATTCTTACAAAATTATTATATAGAATTAATGATCAAAATGATATGACTGACATTTTTAACAACTTAACCCAATTTGATAGGTCTTTTCTTTTAAAGTGATAAAATCAACACTTACTTTAGGAAGCCAACAACATTATTTAAATCTATCAAATGGCATGGAGCAGAAAGAAGAAAGAACAAACTAAAAGTAGATAGCTAGGCTTTTGAAAACTTTAAATGTATATACATACCTGCTATGCTTTTGAGCTCCAAGAGCGAATTTGGCAACCTAATAAGCCTCCCAGCCTGAGTGCAACAACTATCCTTCCTCACCACAGGGTGTCCTCTATATATACTAACTCTTGGACAAAAATGCCCCCCTGATCCTCCCAAGTTCCCCTCAGTGTTGTCCCTCCTACACCTTGCCGCCTCCTCAAAACCACCTCATTTGGCGGCGACACATCATCGGGGACCATTATCCGGTGCCCTACCTCTCTTTTCTGCAACATTTCATTCAAATCCAAAGACTTAGGAAGCTTGTGCTGATCTATGTTGCCGACATCTGCACCGGCACTCATCACGAGGAACTTGATCATGTCAACATGGTTTTCTGCCACGGCGATTTGCAGAGCTGTTTGGCCATGACAGTTCTTGGAATCGATGTGCAAACCTTGCTTCAAAAGGTCCTTCATCACTGCGAGATTGTTTCTCTTTGCAGCTGTGCAAAGAAGGTCACCAGCTGTGTAGGGATCAGATATGGCGGCGCAGTGGTACAGTATCCAGAATATGGAGTGGTGCTTGGATGATATAGCATCCCATAGTGCTGTGTTGCCTTCCATGTCTGCCATATGTATTAGCACGATATCAAAATAATAATTCAAGATCAAGATCACCCAGAAAAGAAAAGAAAAGAAAAGAAAAAAATTAAAAAAAAGAAGGGGAAGACAAATGCTACCGAGTGCCACTGAGACATTATTTAATATCCGAATTGGCATGGAAAGTGTTTCAGAAATAGGTTATAGCTGAAAAATGTTTTGGAATCGAGCAATGCTAGGAATCATGAAAAAACTTTCATGAAAATGATCATGAAAGATTTATGACCCTTGGATTACACTTAAAGTAAAGCATCACACACTAATCAAGGTAATCCAAAGATCATAAATCTTTCATGATCATTTTCATGAAAGTTTTTTCATGATCCCTAACTTTTCTCTTTGGAATCAGCAAGTGTTTCGTGTTTAATCCCCTCATCTTTTTTTGTTTGTTTGTTAGTGCCCAAGGCCAGGGTTTTATATATCAACGGACAGATTTTGGACTTATCGTACCAACATCCACTAATATATCTCAGCCAACAGATTTTGTACTTCAAATACCAATGTTGACCAATTTGTTGGCTGATATTGTACGATATATGACCATGTTACTGTTATTTAAAATCATGCCCAGGTCACTCGTTAACCATACCCCAAAAGAAAAAGGGGAAATCTCAATCATATGCATTGTAATTTTGTGGAGGAAATCAAGATGTGACAAGGGCAATTTTATATACCTAGGAGGTGTATGTTGCATGCATGCTTGAGAAGTACCAATACACACTCTTCATGCCCTTTGGATGCTGCAATGTGCTGATGTATAAAAAACAAAATAAAGAACAGCATTATGACCCAAACAAAAGCAACAATATTAAGGAAAAAGGAGAGAAAATAATTGGTATTTTGGCTTTTGTCAGGCTACTTATATCAGATATATTATATAACTATGTCTTGATTCAATTAGGGTTCAAAACAATGGATGCCATCATGCCATATTAAGTGAATTGAGTTTTTACCTATTTCCATTTCTAAGATTCAATTGTAGCGGTCATGTGCAAGCATGCTGAATGAAGTGGCCATTTAGTTCACCCACAAGATAATTTATCCAGGGATGACATATCCCGCACAAGGAGGGCATTTTAGACTTTTTGGTGACAAAAATCTTATCCCAGGATAAGTTGAACATTCCGGGTTAAGTTATCTCAGGTCACAAAATGTGAATCAAATGTAAAACAATTTTATCCTGAGCTAAAATTAACAGTCCCTTTTCCTCCCCCATATCTGTGAATTAAACAAGCTCTAATTTAAGGTTTAATATGTGAGTTGCATACGAAAGAATGGGTGACATACCAGTGGAGTCCTTCCTTGGGAGTCACTGATGTCAGGATCCAACCTAGCCTTGAGAAGCTCGTCAAGAAAGGCAGCATTGCCAGTACCGGCGACAGTAAGCAAGTTGATGGACATGTTTGGGTCTCCATCTTCTTCCCCATCTTCTAGCCATATATCTCCTATTCTCAGATCCTTTAGCTTCTTGTGATGCTGCCAATAGGAACAGGGTTGATTACAATCAGCACTATAATTAGCTTCAAAATCAATTAGTTTGAAAAGTGATAAGAAAATGAATTGTGTAGACCAGATTTACTGTAGGTGACTGACAACATACCAAATTTGAATGTGTAAACAGAAAATTTATTCAAAATTATGTAGCTCACAATGGAACTTTCACTTTAAAACAAAAAAGTCATATGAAGATGAATTTATATCCAAAAATATATTGCCACAACATTTTTGTAAGGTTTTTTGTATGATTTTTATGTATAAACAGAGTTTTCCAATTTGAATATAGTCCATAGAGTTCATTTTTAACTTTGGATCCCGCTTCTCTCCAGTTGGGAGAGAACAGTGAACCGTCCAATTTTGAGTTACGTGGGCTCCTTACAGGACTTACTTTGATGTCTCGATTCTTTCATTTTTTAGCCTCTCATGTGTTGATCATTCATGAAATAAAAAATTAAAGTGATCTGATAATCGAATCAAATTTGTCTTCAAATATGATGATGGACGTTTTAAGTTTTTGATCTATTTCGTCTATAAAAATATCTAGAAAATTGTAACAATTTCATCCATAGCATAGATTTAAACATCTAAAATGAATATAATCCATATATTTCAAATTCTGAATATTTTTCCGAGTATTTAGCATTGCTCTTTTCCTGGCTTCCTAGCTTTTTCTATCCAAATTTTCCATAATATTTCTACCAAAAACGAAAGGCAAAAAACAAAAAGAACAGAAAAAAAGTGCATTTCCCATAATAATATAAACATAATCAATTTTTTACTTGAAATTCAGAATAAACCAAAAAAACCTTCCAAATTTAGTATAAGTAGGAACCAACCTGGAGGAAGTTCTTAAACATGGTGATATTATCTTCTTGTTTGGTCTGCATAGCTTCTAAGAGGGCACTGGTTTTTAGCTTCAGGAGTTGCGAAAGGGTCTTGGTTCGGTACATGAAGCCTTGAGGTCTGCAACAGAGAGCTCCAACTTCTCCGAACATGTCCCCAGATTGCAGAGTCCCAACAACTTTCTCTTTTTCGGTGTCACAGTCGATCATTTCCACCTCTCCTGATACAATGATGTATACATCATCTGGTGACTCATTCTGCAGTATAACGTCCTCTCCGGGTGGAATGTACTCTGCCTTCATATCTGCAACCTGATATCATCATCATCAAATTCATTATACAAAGCTGGTGATTAACGATTATGTAAAACAATATTTTCTGTGCAAACAAGAGTTTAGTCGACATACACAAAACTAAGTTAAAAATACTAAGAATGTACATGTTAGCACTATTTTTACATTTTTCATACTTTTCTATAATTTGATTCTATATATGTTCATTTACAAAGCATTTCATGCATGTATCAACCACCAAAGGTTCAGTTTCTGGAGAGAAGACTGGACTATGCTATTGGGCCCTTGTGGGTCCACCACAACTCTATTTTATGATATGCTTGTTTATTTTTAGGCCCTTATGTGTAGTGTAGGTTATTCATAAAAAAATTAATTGATTTTATAATTCTAGCAATACGATTTAATCACATTTGTCTTGAAAAAATACATGTCAATTTTTCAGGACAAATGAGATAAAATTCTATGACTACAATTATCAGATCACTCTGCCATTTTTTTTTTTATAAATAAAAACTTAAAAAATGAATTGAGCAGATATCAAAACAGGCCATATGGTAGGCCCACAAGGGTCCATCAGCACGGTCCAGTCTTCTCCCAACTGGAGCAAAGCTGGACCCACTGTGAAATTATGTTTCAAGTTTGATGAACTCATGAGATGTATATAATGGTTTGATTCATACCAGAAGCAAGAGAATTTCCCTGGAGACATCCTTGAAGAGATAGACCTTCTCGACTGTTGGGAAAAACAAATGTTGGCGGATGCTTTTGCAAATAGTCTTGGGAAGCTGCTCAATGAGTTGCTGCTGGTTCAAGCTCTCAGCCTTGAACCTCAAACACATGTATCCCAATATCTGCTCCTTCAGCCGAGGCGGCAGTCTATTCCGGCACACAAAGTTTGATGCTGCCTCAATACTATTTCTCTGCCAACATTTAAAAAACAAACAAACAAACATTAAAATTGTTTCACTACCATGGTAACTACATCTTATTCCAAGGCACTAATGAAAAAATAAAAAATAAGAGAAGGTATTAATTACACTATTGGTTCCTATGCTTTGTGTTATTTTGGTTCCAACATTGTAATTGTCTCAATTTCATCTTCCTTCTTCTTCTTTTTTTGGGTCATCGGTAAGACATTATTTACATATATTAGGAAAATTACATCAAACTGGGCAATCATAGTTCACCAACACTAATATATCAGCCCAACAAACAGTATCAACCACCAACACAAGAAAGAGCAAACAACCTACAATAGGAGGAAACAAACTCAATACAACAAAGCCTTCATAATGGAGAAGAAATAATCAATCTTTGCATTTAGCAAGGATTGACCTCTGACCTCCTTAAATTTGCTAAAGTGGTCCCCATGACTATTAAGTATTCATCTTCAGAATTAGACATATTTTTAAAATAAAAATTACACCTCAATAAAAAAGGATAAATCAAATACTATCAATCTTCAAATGTATGTGTTGTATTTCATCTTGGTCATCAATATTTCAATTGTGTCAATTATACCCCGCTTTTGTTATAAAATTCGGACAGGAACAGCATTGTGGGCCATTTAAATATTAATTGAATAAGTTGGGGATCATATTAATGCAGTTAAAATACCTATTCCAATTGAGGCAGTTTAAATATCAAAGATCAAATTGACACCCATCCTTTGGGTACCATTTATTCTAAAAAAACAAATCATTTACAAACACATACTTCAAAAATCAAATAGTGATTACCCTTTTTTGGTTGAGGTATAATTTTTTATTCAAAAATACCTTTGATTTTGGTGATGAATACTAACAATGTTTAATTTAATCATGTGTGAATCACTTTAACTAACACACATTTAATACTTGGAGGATAAAATAGACATAATTGAAATGTTGAGAATCATAATGACACACAATACATGCCTCGTGACCTAAATTATAATTACCCAATAAAAAAATGAAACAAAAAGTCTAGGAACATAGAATCGGATCACAGAACCTGACACAACCCTCTTACATGAGGAAGCAAGGTCCCATCTTTTTGTGAGTCCTACACTCATATAAGAGGGTTGTGTTCGGTTTTATAATCCCTTTCTGTGCAAGTAAAAGACCTGAAAATGAAAAGGTTAGCTTAGCTTACGAATTCCATGGTTCGACGAGTGCCTTCAACAACCAAGTTAGTCATGTTGCCAATGAGGTAAGCAGTGAGGCCAAGGTTGAAAAGCATGTAGAAAATGATGAATATCATTTCCATGGTATTGACTGCATGCATGTCGCCGTAGCCAACGGTGGACATGGTGGTCATGGACCAGTAGAGGGCAGAGATGTAACGAATCCAGAGGCTTGTCTCCCTGAAATTTGGAATCACAGATCCAATCCATGTCTTCCCCTGGTGTGGGTATCTGTCTGCTAGCAAGTAGTATAGGCACCCAGCACAATGCACTAGAAACAATGTCACCTACAATACCCAAATCACAAACACAAAACTTCTCACTATGTTCTTTGCACCCTAATCAAAAAAAGTATGTACATTCTAACAAACTATGTACTCGTATAATTGGATTAATAATATTAAACAAAGTCGAATGGGATGGCCTGGAATCTATAAAAAAATTCAAATAATGAGTAAGAAAGTGAAAAGAGGAGCAAATCATACGGGATGGACATTAAGGTTGTATTCGGATTTTAGATTGGAGAAATAATTTGTGAAAGATGTGAGAAAAAAAAAATTCAAGTTATATTTTTTCACCCATAATTTCTTTTACTTTCCTTTTCTTTCCTTTTCCCCCATAATTCCTCCCCAAATTAAAAATCCAAACATAACCTTAGGTTTATTGGAATGAAATGATCATGCTTTCTTCCTTGTAAAATAACAATTCCCTTACAATCCATTTTCCATAATTTTTGTAATGAACTAAATGCGAGAATGAACATCCTGATGGAAGGATCATTTCACTTCACTTCATTCCAAATAACTAAATGTAACATAAGATTATCTTTAATGGTGTGCCAAATTTTATGCCGGTTAAAATTTGGCATTTGAAGCACGAAAAAGCTACTCCATGGGTGTGCCGCAATTATGGCACCATGCATAACAAAATGCCAAACTATGACAGTTTTGACTGGTTGATTTTTGTATAAAATTTATAAAGTTGTCATTTTCTCAATTTCAAATTTTACAATTTAAACACACACACAGTATATTGTGAAAACTGAATCATATGGTGGTTATGTCAAAGAATGGCATTGAAACCATTGAAGTAGGATTCTGAAAAGGAGGGGGGGGGGAAGTCCTTTTGAATTGAAACTATATGATGTTGATATTTTTCTTTGACAACGGAATTTTCTTGACAACCATTGGAGATCCTTTTTGATTAAAGAAATGAGCTTCAAAATTCACTTACAGATAAGAGCCTAGCACATCTGACCCTGAAATAGCTAAATCTGATGTCCTTTTCAAGCCTGCAAGGTAAGTGCCAGTGATGGAATGAGCAAATATTACATGGTGAGCAAATATTCAGTACCTCGAAAAATGAAATGTGTGAATCTGATTTACAGTGTGTTTCACACACATCAAAATTAAATTTATATCATACAATTTGGCTATATTTGTTTGGAAGGATATGACTTTAGGACAATTTGGCCATCATTTTACGTTCGGCTAAGAAAATTGGGGTCTGGACTAACGGACCAGGATCCTCTGCTCTGATGGATGGCACTGTGGTCTTGGTGTGGTTAAACCACGGCATGAAACATCAGTAATAACATAAACCAACAGTTCAGATCTACTTTTAAATTATAGAACACAAAAATCCATCAAAATCCCTTATTTTTAGAACGAAAATTAGAATAATTTTTTTTAAAAAAAAAAAACAAAAGCAGTAATTAGAAGTGTAAGAAGCTAAGGCCTATTTAATTGGGCAGATTATAGCATACGATTGGGATAATTAATCCATGGGACTCACATTCTAGTGTTTGGTTGCAATTTTTGTTATTTGAATTACATTCCGATAGACATTCTATTCTATCTAATAAAATTGGTGAATTTTTAAACCTACAACTAATAATATAAAACAAACATACAATTGAGATTACATATTTCCATATGCATCGCAAAACAAACATGAACACCAATCCTACACTAATCCCATTGATTGTTAATCGCCTCACTATTAATCCTACGAATCAAACAGGGCCTTATAGTATAAAATCAGTAGGAGATGCAATTGAAATAACATACAAAAGAAACTTTCCTAAACAAAAACAGAGAGTATCCAAAATCAATAGAAAGTCTTGAACCAAAATGCAGAATTATAAGCTGTGAAGCAACCAATTAAAGTCTAACAAACAGATCAGATTCCATGTGAGATCTAAAATACAAATTGAGAAGAGAAAACAGAGAAGTATCAAATCATCTACTGTAAATTGTAATCATTTTTTATTAAACCCCCCAAAAAATAATAGTAATAAAATAAATAAAAAAATCAAGAAGTTAAAGAATGAACACACAGAAAACCCTAAACCCTATCCCGAAAAAAAAAAAACAAAAAACGACGAGGTTTCAATGTTTCACCCATTTTTTTTCCCGTTAAACTTCTGTTCTAAAACGACGTAGTGTTGGGCCTTATATTTATGGTACATCTTCTCGTTAATTTTAGAAAAATACAGATAGTCTATAATTTTAGTATAATTACATTATTCTGTTTTCATAAAATTAAAGTGATTGAAATTAATATAAATAAATAGTATACAAATATAAGAATAAATAAAAAATACATATATACATTTGAGTGTAAAATAGATAATAAAATTATTTTTTTTCATTCATATTACTAATAAATTATTGATGAAAAAGATGTATAAATCAAAATTTTAAGAAAACCTAATATAACTATGTCAAAATTATAAAATTTGTTATATTTTGTTCAAATTTTAAAGAAAGTCAGTTGAACTCTATAATTTAAAAGGAGATATAAACTGTTGATTTATGTTATTTTTTATGTGTCATGTTGTGGTTTAACATGACAATTTCACAACACTATCAATCACAGCAAAGGATCCTGGTCCCTAGATTAATAATCCACCTAAAGAGGAGAATATTGAATTTCAAAAAGGGCAGTAAGATGCAAAATAATAAATTAAGATGATATTGAAACTAATTGGCAATTTTATCAATCTTTTTTTTTGTATTGAAAAAAAAAAAACTCTGTGGGAACATTACAACATCAGCAGACCCTGGTCTCGGGGTAACCAGTTGACAGTCAGATTTAACCTAACTTAAAGGAAATGACTCACTACTGAGGCACCCAATGGAGCTTAGCCACGTACTATAGAAGAGGTCAAATATCGATTAGAGTATAGTGCGAGTTTTCCGAATAAGGTCAACTGGACAAAGCCAACATTCCGAGACACCTAATGGAACTCAGCCACATGCTATAGAATAGACCAAGTATCGATCGGAATATAGCGTGAGTTCTCCGAAGAAGGTTAGCTGGACAAAGCAAACATTCTGCGCCCCTAGGACTCAAACCTGACACACCCCTGTAGAAAGAACTGCCTTCTCCACAAGGCCACCACCCCCGATGATGCAATTTTATCAATCAATTCTCATAATCTTGGTCATCTAATCATAAAACAAGATATACAAACAAATGGAATTCATAATTCGAAGACATATGGTTTTAGAAAGTATAATTTTATCTAATTCAATCTACCTAAACAAACATGATTTTATAAAATAAGTCTAAAATCAAGATTTATCTACTCAGATTTTTCTAGATGAGTGATTGTGTGGTAGAAATTAAATTTGTATAATATGAGGTCTACATATAGAATAAATCTGAACTAAATTTGAGTAATTTCTAAATTAATAAAGGTGAACTAGTATATTACTATATTTTATATTTTCGAAATAATTTTAATATATATTGGCATGCATAGTTTTTCTCAAATACAATTGCAATGACAATAGATCAATTGGGGTATGGGAGTGGAAGTGTGTATTAACCTGGTGAAGAATTGCTTAACACGTCGGAGACGCCAAAATCTGAGCAATCCAAGGAGAGAATAGGAGAGGCCAGAGTGGTGTTTGCCAGTGAAAAAGAATGCAAGCGCCTCGAATGGTATTGTTGATGCCACATCCATCAAAAACCATGTTGACATGTACCTATATATTTATTTATTTATATCACAATAATGTCACTCATCAAACAATCATAATATTATTTCTAAAAAAAAAAAAAAAAATCAATCATAATATTGAATTAATCAAACAAATTTATAGGTTATTTTGGAAAATTGATTAAAAATTGATTTTTTGATTTTTTTTTGAAAAAACGTGTAAAAAAATGAAGAGGTGATGTAACTAAAAATAAGTTAAAAACTGACTTTTGACTTTTAATTATGTTTCCATATTAAACTTATCACCTTCTCTCTCTATTTTGGACTTAAAATTTTTTGTCATTCTTTATTTACAATAATTTTACTGTAAATATGTTGACAGATGACAAAATTTAATACTTTAAGTTTTAAATTAAATTAAATTTTTTTTTTTATCTTAATCTACACATTTTAAAATTATATCGTTTTTCTTTCAATGTGAACTGTTAGATTATCATAGCAATGTATTGGAGAAAAAGGAATGGCAGTCTCTCTCTCTCAACACAATTGTCAAATGTTGGTCAATGAAATTTTTTATAATCCAGAAATAAAGGCCACTTATTGTGAAAATAAATTCATTATATATGAATTAAAATTCGAGTACTGCTATTTATGACCACTATTACACCGAAACCAGCTTATATGTTTTGAGAAAACGGTGGTGCTATATGTACCAATTAATATACTAATTGACATTATTCATTGGGAAAGTTAGTTAAATGAATCAAAAAGAAAATGCTATAAGTTTTAATTTTTTTACTAAATAAATAACTTAAATGTCTTAGATGTGGGGTCTATAAGACATTTCGTAAAAAAATTAATATTTCTAACATTATTCGAATCAAAATGAACAGTCTCCAATAACATGTTAAAAAGACAAAAAAACAAAATCCAATTCATTTACGACTCGTTCTTGTGGTCCAATGGTAAACATCACCATGTATTTTGATTAAGAACATACATGTCATAAGCCCAAAGTAAAAATAAATAAATAAATAACATAGGCCAAAAGGTCTCTCTCTCTCTATTTTTCAAATCAAATAGTGGTCAAGCAAATTCTCTCTGGCTCAGGAATTTGACAGGTCAAATTTGTGGTCCTCTTGTCACACACCCTGGGATGGACCCAAGGCGAACTAGGTCCAACCATCAAACTTCTGAAATTATTGTAGTTTAGATAAGAATGTCTTCAATTCATATAAGTTTATTCTACTAATATTTTTTAAAAATTTTAATCACTGCCCTTTAAGATTTTTTTTTTCCAATTTTCTAAATTAGATTTTTTTTTTTTTTTGAAAACTCAAGTATACAGAGCTAACGTTTGTTAGGTAGATCATGTAGTAGATTAAAAAAGAGTAACATTTGGGATCATAAAAAAATATCATGAAATATTTTTTGAAGATTCTACACCTTTAAATTATACACATAATAAAATAACATACACTAATCAAATGAAAAAAAAAATTCATAAAATATTTTTTCATAATCCTAGGTATTACTCGTTAAAAAATAGTAAGATATCATTTTCTATCATATAAAGATATGCACCGACTTTGTTGTGAGAGAGATGTCTGTGGTCCTCCAGAAGTGGCGTTTATTACTGGCTTTGAATGGGAAGTGTTTGGGTGTGTAACTCCTCAAAGGATGCACACTATATACAAGGAGTATGTAAATTTGCATGAATTTTCACAAAAATATGTGAGGTGTATTATAAAATTACGTAACTTAAATATAAATTTAGATAAATTAACTTATAAAAATTTGAGAGATTACAACTTAACGTAAGTTCTCACAAATATACGTAAGTCAACTCACAAAATCGTATAATTTAACACAAATTTACGTAAGTTAACCTATAAAATGTGTCATAAGTTCTCATAAAAGTGTGTAACATTAGTTACAAAAATAAATAAATAAATGACATATCATATATATGCCTTGCACACTCAAAAATTATCCGTTTTGAATATATTTTTTGTAAAATTTACGAAAAATGTTACTTTGAAGTTGGGACCTTCTTTGTGGTCATGTGGGTAATTCATTTCCTTTAGACATGGGTATTGGCATGATTGCCTTCCTTAACAATACCAGGGTGGGCTCATTATTTAAATCTTTACACATGAATGCTCATAATACTTCAGTTGCATCGATTTTGTTTGCTCTCAAGTAAGCTAAACTATCATATTAATGTCCTTATTGATGCCAAATTTTTGTTTGAACAGCCAAAGGGAACTAAGGATATTGAAGCAAGCCTAGCACCGTGGATTTTTTATAGTTATTTTGTTGTGCAGTACTTTCACTCTTGTAAAATCTTCTTGGCATGTAAAAGTTATCTTCATTCTGTTAGGAGGTTGGCACGTTTTGCAGCATTTTCTTGTATCCCGGCTTATGGAGATTCGCACTTTCCTTTTGATAATGGTTAAGTAATAGAAAATATTTTACTTTATTTTGATTTTCTTTTCTACTTGTAACCATAATTAGTTAGTTTGCTAGTACGTTATATGGACTACTATGTAATATGTTATATTTTAATTAAAGTTCTTATTTCACCCCAAAAAAAAAAAAAAAAAAAACAGTATGGAAAAATTGACTAGCAACAATGCTATAAATTCAAAAAAAAAAAATTATAATTTAAATTGTGTAAAGTAGATTTATTGTTAATAGAAATCCACACCACATAAGTTAATTTTTTACCGTACATTCACTTTAATAAGCCTCCGTTTGGGAAGTGGGTTGGCTTTTTGGCTTTTTGGCTTTTTGGCTATTTTAGCCTGGGCTATTTTAGCCTGGTTTGGGAAGGGCTTTTTGGCTTTTTTAGCTTTTTTTGTGAGAGAGGATTGTAATGATTATGGGTTGGATTTGATGTTTTGTTTTTTGTGGCTAAAATAGCCTATTTTGTTTTTTGTGACTATTTTAGCCCCAAACCAAGTTGCCAAACAAAGGCTAAATTTATGAAATTTTTTGTCTGAGTATATATCGTTTTTTGTTGGACAAGTTGTTGTTGAGTGCGTAAAAGGGACAGATGTATCACTTGGAGAATCACCGAAAGGAGGCCAATCATCAGCCCATTTTAAACGCAAAAAAAAAAAACAAAAGTTATTCTCTCTCCTCATAATTACCAAAATGATAACGTACACCAGCACCTAATCATGTTCCGTTGGCAACATCAATTTTTTAATTTAAAAATTAAATAATTAATAATTTATATTAAAAAATCAAAAAAATTTTTTTTTTATTTTTTACACATTTTTCATAAAAAATTAAAAAGTCATTTTAAACATATTAATTTTTTTACATTATATTTTAGTCAAAAATTTTAAAAAGTACTAAAAAAGTAGGTTCCCAAATTACCCTTAAATGCTATTATTATCTTTTTATGTAGAAATAATTTATTAGAGAACTTTGATAATAAATTATCAATATATGTACAAAATAACAAAATATTTATAATTTGAATATATTTTTCATATAATTTAATTATTTTTACATATTTTAATATATATTTTTTATTTATTTTTCAACACCAATAACAACTTTAAGTCAGAGTATGGATAATGAGGGTGAAGGGTCACGTAATACTATATATTAAATATTTCATGAAAAACTCTAGAGAGTACAATCAACTCATTTAATTTGATAATGAAAAATATTATGAATCCCAAAAAATCTATCAAATGTTCTACCAAATCTTTAACATGGGTGTGAGACTCACACAAACGCACATGTGTGTGTGAATCTCACGCCCATATGAGCGGTTTTTTAAAGGCCACAGCTTCTCTCCAGTCCAAATCTGGACTGAACGGTGCTGTCCGGCCCTTGGGGGCTCACTACGGGTCGTGTTTCGATAATCTAAACCGTTCAATGTGTAGAACTCGTCGAGTACTATATGCCTATAAAAAATCACGTTGATCGGATATCGATAGCTATATGATCAAATCAGTTTTTTATGAAAAAAAATGGACGGCGAAAAATAAACGGCTTACAAAAAACTGATTTGATCATATAACTATGGATATCCGATCAACGTGATTTTTTATAGGTATATAGTACTCGACGAGTTCTACAAATTGAACGGTTTAGATTATCGAAACACAACCCGTAGTGGGCCCCCAAGGACCGGACAGCACCGTCCAGTCCAGATTTGGACTGGAGAGAAGCTGTGCCCTTTTTAAAATATTTAGTAGATTATTTGAGATCCTTGACATTACTCTTTGATAATTAATACCCAACTGAAATTGTTTCTTATGTTAAAATCGTGACATCTGTCTTTTATGATCGTATATATCATCACAGATTTTAAATATCATTTAAGAATTTATTTAAAATGAAACTCTTTACTATGTTTTATATATACCTTTTTTTATTTCTTCCGGTTATTCAACCATATAGCCAAGTCTTTTTTCACCATCATCACAGCCACGATACATCCACCACCATCATCACAATTGTCTCAACCAACATCGTCTTCACAGGCTACTAGAGGTATACATAGAAAACATGGCTTTAAATTATTTCATTTTATTTTTAAGATCCTCTAGTCTTTATAAAAAAAATCATAATAATGCAAAATAAATTGGTTTTTGTAATAATCTAAAAAAATTATTTATTGTAATTCTTAACATTTTAATTTAATTATGTTTTAGATCACAATTAATCCAAAATTATTAATATAATTTTTAACATGTTAATCTAATTTTAATTTAATTATATTTTAGATCAATTCTTAATTATTATTTATTTTATATTTTATATTTTAGATAAATTCTTAATTATATTTTAATTTTTTTTAGTTTAATTAACATATTAATCTAATTTTAAGTTTTGACAAAACAGAGGTAAAATTATCTTTTTATTGTATTAATTTCATTTTATTTTTTCAAAAAATCAAACCTATTCTAAAAAATTGTGTGTGATACACTTTCTGTTAATTTGAATGGAAAAATTAACAGTGACACTTTAGTCTAAAATCACATGAGAGTTTTCTAACTTATATTTGAACCATAGTGAATAAAGTGCACCAGTCCCAACTCACAACCTTTATATTTTGTAAAGTGATACAAAAAATTTGATTAAAATTTTGTTTATACATAAAATTACTCCAACCCACACAATTCATTTTATTTGTTTTATTATTATATTTTTATCACATTGACCTGTGGATGTCATAATAGCAAGTAATAAGAATAATGATACGAACTCTAAAAGTTTTATTAAAATTTTTACCAAATATCTCACATGAGTGTGGAACTCATATCACATGGGTCTCACACCTATGTAAAATATTTAATAAAAATTTTGATCGAATTTTTGGGATCTCTAACATTTTTAAAGTAATAATAATGGAAAGTAAAACTAGAAAACTAACCTCAAGGCAATTTTAGTTTGGTCACGAACAAGAAGTTGAGTGATAGGATCAATGTAGGCAACAAAGAAGGTTAAGACAATATCAATGGCGAAGAAGAGATCAACAATGTTGTCGGCGATGAATAAATCTCTTTTTGGATTGGAATTGAGAAAAGCAACCTCAAAAGGGTAAACCCAAGCTGTGTATGCTACCAATCCCACCATTAATGTCTCCCAACACCTGCTCACCCACATCACCATCAAATATATGCTAATTATTACTTATTTTTAAACTATCATTTGGTGTTTAAAATCAATAATTATGCTCTTTTTCAATTGTCGAGAATGGTATGTATGTGACACCATATAGTACTATGGACTATTAAGTAATTTTGAGACAATTACAACAAAAAAATTAATTAATTCAGGTTTGAATCTTTTAACAAAATAAATTTTTAATTTTTAATTTTATCAATTTAAACTCTAATATTTTGATTTATTTTCAATTTAAACCAATCTCTTATTTTTGTTAAGTAAAACCGACGGAAAAAGAATATTTTAGTTATTTACAATGTAGAAATATATAAAATGTCTAAAATATCATTCTTGTTGGGTTTAATGACTAAAATATCTATTTTTTTATTGATTTTATTTAACGAAAATAGGCAAATTATTTATATTGAAAACAAATCAAATATATAGAGTTTAAATTAAAAAAAAAATAATTCAATATTTATTTTGTTATAAGGATTAAACCTTTGAGGTTTTTTTTTTTTTTTTTGGTGGTAATTTTCCCAATAATTTTTCAACATGAAAAATTAAAATTGAACCCATATTGATCTCTACGCTCATGAAGCATTATCTTAGAGGGTTTCATTTTTCCTATTGTTCCTTGCCTTTTCAATTTAAAGATCTGTTTGATTAGGAAAAGATAAAACAAAATTAGTCAAAAAAACAAATAGGTTTATTGATGCAAAGCATAAGTACGTGGAGTGAAAAATATGATGGAAAGTGGAAGTAATAGAATGTGATGTTAAAATATTTTTTTTTTAAAAAAAAGTGAAAGTAGAATTTATTTTTTGTATTCATTTGGTTAAGATTGTTTTTCTTTTTTTTCCTTTTTCTTTTTTGCGAGAAAGTAATAACAGTTGGTTTTTTTCAATTAAAAAAAATCCTAGTATGTTTTGATGGAGATTGAAAATCAAGATATCATAGTGTTATAGATTATACAAAATTTATTATCATTATATTAAATAACTTATAAATCAACGCTTAATTTTAAAACATATTAAGCATAGAAAAAATATAATAAAACTATCTTCACTTTATATATTTGGATATATATTCTGTACGGTACGGTAAAAATTAAGAGAGGAAAAAAATATACAACAAAATTAGCAAAAATCTTGGGTATGTATTATAATATAGAAGGATTTTAGAGATCAAACCTTTTCATCTTTAAAAGTAAAAACTTTATTACAAAAAAGCATTACTAGGCCAATTTATGTTGTCACTAAAAAGGCGTCTCAAAAAGTCTTTTTATAAAAATATGTTTAGGGACACTTTTTTTAAAAAATATTACTAATAAATGCACGTTTAATGACAAAATATTGTGCTAAAAAGATTTAGTGTCTATTTGGTTTGATTTGATTTTTTTAAAATTATTTTTAGATAAGTTTTTGTTTATTTTTAATGAATTTGTTTTATATTTTAATCATTTTTAAAATTTCTTAGATGCATCTAATCAAGATACATTTAAAAAGTAAAATAAATTGGCTAAAATATTTTTAAAAATTCACTAAAAATAAATAAAAATTTGAACAAAAATCGATGTGTATTTTTGTTTGAGTTTTCATTTGTTTTTAGTTTTTATTTATTTATTCATATTTTAGTTAAACTTTTTTACTTTTTAAATGCATTTAATCTTGATTTATCTAAAAAGTTTTAAAAAAAAATTGATTAAAATATGAAAAAATTTAGTAAGACAGACGAAAATCTGTAAAACAAAAATAATTTATCACTAAAATAAAATAAAAAAATTAATACTTTTAACAGTTAAAATATTGTGTTCTTGAAAAGTAATTTCATTCTAAATTTTTGTGTCTAAAACTTTAATTTGTAGTAATAAGTTTGTGGAAATACCCATATTTATATGGGTATATATATAAACACAAATGCATGCTTAAGTGTATATGAATTACACGAAAAATATATGCATGTGTACAAGACAAAAGTAGTATTATACCATACACGTACAACACCTTAATGCATCAAAGTAGTGTAAAAATGGACTTAATTTAACAAAAAAGAAAAGAAAAGAAGAGGATATTGTAGATAGTGTGTGTCTCACCTGTATCTGGAATCCATGGGAGAGATAATCTTGCCATTGGATTCATTCTGGTTCTGATTATACCCAGAAACACCCAAAGGAGGAAGAATAATTTTTGACAAGTATCTTAAATTGAGATCTGTTGTTGTTGTTGTTAATGATGATGTTGTTCCATCTTCATAGTTATGTGGCTTCTTCATGCTAGAGGCTTCTTCTGGGTAGATGCTGTATGGGCTCAATTTTACTTCCATTTTCCAAAACAAGTCTCAAAGTATGTTCTTGGATCATTCACCATCACAATTTTCCAGAGAGAGAGAGAGAGAGAGGGTTGTTGGAATGATTAGGAAATGGATTTGGAAGCTGAGGAATATATAAAGCAAAAAGGAGAGAAAAATATGTTTTTGATGATATTTGTGGGTGGTGTGAGAGAGATAGAGTGGGATTCACTGATAATTTTAAAAAGAGAGAGAGAGAGAAAAAAAAACTTTAAAAAAAAAGTCAGAATTTAAAATGTGTGGATGGAATTTATTTTTAAGTATAATATCATATCAAATTTAAATTTGTACAAAAAATTCAAATTATGAATATTTTGAAAAATATTGGGCTTGTTTGGTTTTTTTTTGGGAAAGTTGTTTTTGAAAAAAAATTTAGGGAGAGTTTAGAAATTTTTTTGGTTTGTTTGGTTGTATATTTTGGGAGAGTTGTTTTTTTTGGGAATTTGGGATGATTTGATATTTTGGGAGAATTTGAAAAGACGTGTGTAAGAGAAAAAGTGATTGAGAAGGAGAGAGAAGAGAGAAAAAGTAATTGATTGATGTGTAAGAGAGAGAAAGTGATTTTGAAATTTTTTTGAAAAAAACTCAAACCAAATAATTTTTTAGAAATTATTTCTTAAAATTCATCTCTCGAATGCAAACCAAACATACCCATTATTTCTAAATACATATACATTTTTATGTAAAGAAAAATATATGGAGCAGAAAGGACTGAAAGATAGAAAAGTATGCTAAATATATATATATAATTTTTTTGAGCGAAAATAGTATGTCAGAACATCTCCAACGGTGACTCAAATTTTTCACTAAATTTGAGTTAAAAATGATCTATTTCATCAACTTTGATACCACTCACTCCAACGGTTCACCTTTCACCAAATCTATCCCAGGACAATCGGGTGGTCGACCGGCCGGTTGACCGGTTAGGCAAAATTTTTTTTTTTTTTTTTTAACGATTTGAACTTTTTTTCTGAACTGTTTGAATCTTTTACTGGTTGACTGGTTGGTCAACCGGCCGGGCAACCGGCCGAGCAACCGGCTGGTTGACCGGTGTACCTCTTTCAACGGTCAGTAACAGTGATTTGGTAAAATATGTGTCTCGTTCTCAGTTTGATGCTTTTTTTACTGAAATCTCATTTTGATATCAATCTGGTGCAACGGTTGGAGCATAAAAAAGTGCATTTTTCATCAAAATTTGAATCTGATATCAACTTTGATTCACCGTTGGAGATGGTCTAACTCGTGTAATTTGATTGAATCAATTTAACTTGATTGATTTTAAGTTGATATATGTCTTTCGATGAACATATATAAATGAAATATTTTAAAATTTACGGATACAATTCGGATGACGGATCAATCATTCTGTACTCGTATGAACCCGATTTGTAGATGAAGTTTTTTTAAAAAAAATTTGCTAACAAGTAACAATATAGTAGTGCTTTGGAAAGTTGATAAAAAGCGCTGAAAGCTGGTGTCATGGTCTATTATAAACAAATAATACATTTTTTTTTTTCAAATTATTAGTTATTAGAGATTGTAAAAATTATGAATTATAATTCAAAAAAATGTCTAAAATTTGTAAATTCCGAACAGTTAAACTGATCACATTCATCCACTAACTCGCACGGCCGGCTCAATCTGCATCCTCCAAATCGATAGATGGATGCAAATTGATTTTTTTGAATCTACCTAATTTTAAACGAATAGTGAATAAGATGTCACTCGACCCGCGATTACCTCTAATAGTGACCTCCCAAATGAGGTGTAGAAAAATGGACCAATTTTCACATAGGGTATAATTTATTATAAAAAAAAATGGGGTTTAATATTTGAGAGATAATTATCAAATTATAATTAAGATTAGTGTAAAATATTGTGATAAAGGAAGCACCTACATTGATTGATATTTGAGATGACTAAACCCCAAAATGCTTGGGTGGCCAATACTTTTGGCTCTGTGTGTGCGTGTGTAAGTGAGTGCCATGAAAGTCATCTATCTTTGTCTCTCTTATTATTCTTTTTCTTTTCTTTTTTTTCTTTTAACAGGTCTCTCTCATTATTCCAAAACTATGATATGATCAATATCATAATTTCATAAAAAAGTAAAAGAAAAAAGAGAAAAAAAAGAAAGAAAAAAAAGAAACAAGCCCAACAAATTTGGTTTAAAAATTTTAAAACAGGCATGACAAGTCAATTTTGAAACTGATTTTTGTTTTGTAGGACAATCTTCACTGTATTTAAATAGATTAAATTCTGTTGTGTACAAAACAACAACAAGAATAAAAGAAATAGATAAAAGGAGAGAATTTGTTTGATTACAAAAATCAAACTCGAAATAATAATAAATAAATAAAACCACAGATTTTATTTTGTTACAAAAACAAAAATAAAATCTGATTAGATAAACAAATAAAAAAAACAGAATAAAATTAAACAACTTACTTGGTTAATTTATTTGAATAACTTGACGAAAACTTTTGATTTTGATTTTGATTTTGATTTATGTTATTTAAATTTGGGAGCAACATTATGTATGTATTATGCGACGTTATGTAGTGGCATAATTTTTATTGTTCTGAATTTTTATTTATGTATTGCTATGAATTGAACAATATTATTAATTTTCATTATTTGTCAATTTTAGTTTATGTACGTATTTATATTATTCTGTAATTTTTCAATTTTTTATACTTATTTTTTATCTAATACAGGTTATTTTAATTTTTTTAATAATTTATCAGCAGGGTTTTTTTTTTTTTTTAATTTTTTGAGACGGGAGAAGAACCCGTCGCAAAAACCATTAATAGGCTTTTGCGACGGTACCAACACAGTCGCAAAAGCTGGCTTATTGAATGTACAGGACACCTTTAGCGACGGTTAACCGTGCCGTCGCCAATACTTATAGATGCCAGAGCCTTTAACGACGGTAAAGTTCCCGTCTCAAAAACTCACTTTTAGCGACGGAAATTACGTGCCGTCGCGAAAAGTGATTTTCCCACCATTATATGCGACGGGAAAAATGCCGTCGCAAAAAACTTGGCTTACCGTCGCAGAAACTAATGGCGACGGTACTTACCGTCGCGAAAGGTTTTTTGCAACCCCGTCTGTCGCGACCCCCCCTTACCGTCGCAAAAAGCCACATTACCGTCGCAAAAGACATTAGCGACGGCTTTCGGGGCATTTGCGACGGCCGTGTACCGTCGCAAAAAACAAATTTTTTTGTAGTGGTGGCCAATATTTTGGCTGTGTGCGTGTAAGTGAGTGCCATGAAAGCCATCTCTCTTTGTTTCTCTTATTATTCTTTTTCTTTTCTTTTCTTTTCTTTTTTTAACAGGCCTCTCTCATTATTCCAACACTATGATATGATCAATATCATAATTTCATAAAAAAGTAAAATAAAAGAGAGAGAGAAAAAAATAAATCGACACTCGGGGCCCACCTAAAAATTAGACCAATCTCGAGAAAAAATTCTGATTTTATCCAGAATTTTTTCCACCATTTCCAACATGTTTTTGTATCAAGTCTATGTTTGTTTTGATATGAAATAATTTTCATGTAAATTTTTTTATTTTTCAATTTAGTTAACATTCGAAATAAATTAAACCAAATCAAATATCAAGTCTCATCAAATAGAGTTAGTTTAGTTAACACTTGAAATATATTTAATATATATATAAATATTGTATACACAACACTGGATAGAAATCAATGAAGAATCACAATTTCACTTTTGAAGTTATCAAAACTTTTTAAAAATTGACTTATAAAATTTTGAACGACAAGTTATTTAGAGAACTACGATGAAAAGTATTTACTTATATTTTGTTCAATTAAATAACTAATCGTTATAACAAACAGAACCTAATTTCACCTACTTTCCCAATTGAGGGGAGGGCATTGAGAGGAATATCCTCCAACATGCAGAGCTTGCAACATCAAAATGTAGCCAAACAAGACTTTTCTTCTCAACAATTCTTAGCATCTGAACTAGCTTGTTAGCCCAGTGGTGGGCTCCAAACCATCATCCAACTTTCGAATAGAATCAAGCTCATTTCAATTAAGCTTGTGAACACAAAGAGATTATTTATATTTTTTTTTTTAATTTTGATATTTATGTGAATTTACATATTTGATTGACAAAATTTTTTTATGATATGAGCATTATTTTGCTTGTAATCTTCCCCCCTATTAATGCACTAGTTCATTTGGGTGTTTTTGTTTTTGAATTTTTTGTTGTTGAATTTGAGTTTAAGGTCAACTTATTTATGTAATTGAGTTTACTCGAGTTGAGCTTGAGTCAATTCTTTGATATCAAATTGAACTTGGTTTCAAGCCCAATTAATTTTCAATGAATCAAGCTTAAACATATCAAAATTTGACACGTTTGCAAGCCTAATAGTGGGCGTTGTCAAAAGGTTACTCATTTCCAACTAAAAAATTAAAATTTTCTTCAGAATTGTTGTTTCGAGTTCTGACCCCTCTCTTTTCTATGAAATGGAGAGGATTAAAGTCCCTCTTTTCTCCCTTAAACAAATAATGCTAAAAAAAATTTAAAATTAATATGATAAAGGGATTGAATCTTGTAATTATTATTATTATTTTTTTTTGTATGTAAGAGATATCATGGGACAATTTACGTGTATCAAACTAAGTTCCTAAACAAATCAATAATTGAAACGTCATAATTTACATCATTATGGGCGAAACTAAAATTTATAATTTTGAGATGCTTGATATTTTTTAATAGTTGATGTTCTTGCATGTTTTGGAGGTCACAAATTTTTATTTATTTATTTATGTGTGTGAATGTGTAGAAGATCATGACAATGTCGGCTTGGAAAGCTGTTGATTGGGTGGACTCAATAGTAGGACCTATAATATCTCGAATCTTCTTGGCCCAAAAAGTTATGCCCAAAAAAGAAAGAAGAAAAATAAAAAAATAAAAATAAAAAAGCCTTTAGGCCTTTTTGGCCTTTGCTAATTCCAATCTCAATGATAAAACTTGTGGCTGTAATGATATTTATGACAAATGATGTTTGGCTTTCAGCTAATTTTTTTTTGTAATTTTTTATTTTTAGTGATTTTTTTTAATATAAAAGTTATGTTAATTTTTTTAATTTTCAGGTACATCATTTGTACAAGATGAATTTAA